TCCCTCCCTCCCTCCCCTTCCCTTCTGTCTGTCTACTTCCCATCATTCCCCTTGCCGAAAGTCGCTCGGGGGTTTTGGCGTGGCCCTTCGTCGTGCCTGCGGCTGGAGGGACCTGGGGGGCTCGGTCCTGAGGGTCCCCGCGCCGTCCTGGCTCCCTGGCTGCCGCAGCAGCTTCTGCTGCTCCATGATGCTGCGGAGGAAGGTTCGATCCCTCCTCACCCCCCCTCTCTCTTCTGTCCTTCCTGCGCCCCTCACTGCATCACCTCCTTCTCCCACCACCCACCACTTCCTCTTCCCGACCCCTCTTCCACCACGTCCATCCTGCCACCTTCACCTTCATCCCTCTCTCCTTCATCCCTCTCTCCTTCATCCCTCTCTCCTTCATCCCTCTCTCCTTCATCCCTCTCTCCTTCATCCCTCTCTCCTTCATCCCTCTCTTCTTCATCCCTCTCTCCTTCACCCCTCTATCCTTCACCCCTCTCTCCTTCATCCCTCTCTCCATCCCTCTCTCCATCCCTCTCTCCATCCCTATCTTCTTCATCCCTCTCTTCATCCCTCTCTCCTTCATCCCTTTCTCCTTCATCTCTCTCTCCTTCATCCCTTTCTCCTTCATCTCTCTCTCCTTCATCCATCTCTCCTTCATCCATCTCCTCCTACCCTTCCGCCCAACCTTTCTCGTACCCTCCCTCCCTTCTCCTCCGCTCCTCTTCCCAGAGGCCGTCCTCCTCTCCTCTGCAGCTATAGTACAGTTCGTGTCGCGCGAGCCCGTTTCCGAATTATAAACGCCGTCCTAGATTAATGGCACATTGTGGGAGCGCAGCACATCCTTTATTTTAATTCTGTATTTGCTCTCCGTGCCTGCCTGGCCGCCCGCCTGTCTGCCTGAAAGGGGTTGGTTCGAATCGGACGGCTGCTATTAGACCCCGAACTGCGGTGCCGCTCTGTACCCAGTGTCGCGTATTTGCTCTAAGGGTGCGCGGCGGGCGGGGCCGGGACGGGGCGGCTCGGGGAGACCGCATGGCGACGGCGACCCGTTGCACGCACGACCGGTCTCTCTGCACCACCGGGCCCGTACTCAAACCACGTGGCTGGCTGCGCGGTCAGGGTGGCGCCGCCGCGACAACTGTACCGGCTGTAAAGGCAATACACCGCAGTGTTGCGGGCTCGCCTACCTGATCTGCCCGTAAGGGGCCATAGCCCCTTCGATAGGCAAACCCGCAACACTTTTGGGAGTTTTAGCCTTTACAGACGTACTCCTCTCCTCTGTACACTAATGAGCAAAGTTGTCGACCCCTAGCGGTGCAGGTCCCGGAGTCTGGCAGGTTGCAGGCTAGTCCACCCCGCAGGCGCCGCTGGAGTAGGCAAAACCCGCGTCAATGCCCTGAGGCTTTTGTACGTTAAACAGATGACACAATTATCAGCTAAATTCAAAACAGCTAATTTTGTTTCATAAAGACGTAATTCGTTTGGGGTTTGGGGGCTGAGCGTGAGAAGCATAGTTACCCACAACGACCGCGAGCAGACTCCACGGGCCCATACACTCCAAGACAGAACACCCCTCGACCCTCTCCGTTAACCTCTCTCTCGCCCTCTGCCTCCCCCCTCCTCTTGCATTCTCGGATCACAGTCTGATACGCCCATTTCACTTCGGAGAGTCCTTTGGTGTCACAAAGGAACTCGGCGGGCCTAAGTGCGTTACTGCGCCTCTCACGAGTGGGTGAGAGGGGCCTCTCCGGCCCCGCCCCGCCTCGCCGCGCCCCGCCACACCAGGTTTGCCCCCAAGTTGCATTACCCTCTTCGCCCATCTCTTTCTCCCTCTCCCACCCCACGTCTGGCTGGCAGGCTGGCAGCTAGCGGCCGCATTTCGGTCGCGGAAAAAACCCGGCAGACGCACCAGCACCCTTTTCTTCTTGAATGGGCGCTTCAATTGGAATGCGATTGAAAGAATAGAAAACGGAGCCTCCAGCCCCGCGCCGGCCGGCTCCAACCCCTCCGCGCCGGTTTGCTGCCTGCCTTGCGCTCTTTTCTCCCCCTTGCTTATGCACGCCCCGAAAAGAGTGAGTGAGCGCTAGAAAGAAAGAGAACCCGCGGCTCTTCTTCACTTTCATTTTATTTCCATTATTTGCTCCCCCTCCTTTTGGATTGGCGCGTCTTGGCCTGACCTTTTCGCCCTTATATCCGCTCGATTCTTTTTCTCACCCCCAGAAGAGGTCCCTCCGGGGCGGGGCGGGGCGTGGGCATCAGTGCGAGGCCAGGGAACTTGGAGTCGTGCGAATAACGCACTGTCGAGCCGAAAGTGAAGCAGTGAACGATCCTTTTGGTGATGTTTGATTCTGTGACGGGGATCCTTGGAGCGGTGGAATGAGAATCCATGAAAGCCACGGGGGTGGCTTTAAAATTTTCCCGAAATATCTTAGAGCAGAAATTTACCTAGGGTTTTATGTTTACCTGCAAAGTTTTATTTTTTCCATTGTTTCTGTAAGTCTGTAAGTGTTGCAGTTTTCCCGACTTTTTCATAGTTTTCCAATGTTCCGGAAAAAATTCGGATTTTTAAAGGTCCTAACCCTGAGGCGGCTGGTGGGGTGGGTGAATCAGGGCGGCCCATGCGTCACCCCGCAGTGCACCCACCGCCGCCACGGGTGCCCGCTGTTTATGACGCCACGCTTCTGCGAATAGTTACCTGTCACACTGCATCACGCGCGCCGCATTGTCCCGCCAAACAGCCGCAGGAGGACGCAACTGCAAATAGTGCAATTTTATTCGACGGATGGACGGACGGACAGGCGGCGGCGGGACTTGTGAGGCAGAAACAGCGCCC